TTCCCTCTTGAAATAGCTGCTGCAACCATAAATTTGCCTGCTTACTGTTGCTTCACTAGCGCTATAGGCTTCACTATTGCTTTGGTGTGCTTGTGTAATATTCAGAACAGTGCCACTTATAGTATCTCCTGCTGTCCATTCTTCTGATGTCTGCTCGCTACAAAATGTGTTCAAAGCCAAAAGTGAAGTATAAAAAACATGTGTGTGCTTACAGTTGGAGGCAACCTATTAAAACAAGTACCTCGAGTGACATTCAAATCTGAGCGTAACATCTCCCACTTCCAACACCGCCTATTAGAGTGTGTGTGTAAGCTGTAATGTTTACGTGTTGAACTCTCACGGTCTGTTTAGACTCCATTTCCACTTTCCTCTCCCCCCAACCGCTTGCTGTATCCCTCTTATTCCTCGGACGGAAATCTGTGCGTGTGTACATCCTCAGGTATCTATGGAATAACAAGCTGAATGGGTCTATTCCATCAACCATCGGCAGCATGAGCAACCTTACACACCTGTCAGTATCAAGGAAGTTTGATAAAATTTCACCTTCGGCTTGAATGGCTGTGGTTCATTTCTTAAACGACTGCTTCAGCTGTTGTTTCGTTCGACTTGGGCGTGAGCAAGGAGTGTCGGGGCAGCCCACCAGGGCCATCAAGGCCCATCAGTGGAAATGGGATGGTTTCACAAGGCTATGGGGGGTCCATCACATGGTGACAGGCAGGGGCTTCTCTCTAATCCGTGTAAATCTGTTATCTCCCCACCAAATATACCACATTGAGCTCTTGGCCTTTCAATTCCGTATGGATTTGGCTTCAAACACGCTCGTATCAGGCCATCCCATGGCAGGGCCATAATGCAATGAATCAGCATTGATTCAAATTGCTACTTGATGTAAACAACCGGCAAACGGTGCCCACTGACAATGAGCATCTTGCCTGCCAAATCCGTGTGGACACGGCTTAACATGCTTGCCATGGCGGACACAATACATGACCTCCTTGCAGAAAGTCAGCCATGGCCGGATAGGTAGGAAGGTTGGCCTTGGTTCTGCCCTATAATCCTTTTTTATGCACCTGGGCTGGCTCTTGCCTGACCGCGCTTATGTCTCCTTCCCACACAATCATGTTTCTCAAACGTCCGTTACTAGTGCTACCCTTGATGGAAAGTATGGGAAAGCCGTATCGGTTTTCGAACTAGCGAGAGCAAGAGTAGAATCTTGGCCGGTGTGGTTTTTGCCTCCATGGCCAGACATGACACCGGAATGGGGTCGGGAGGGTCTGGGTTGGATAATATTCCTGCCTTGCTATGACCGTCCACTTGAGTTGGGCCAAGCTTGGTCTGGTTCTACTTGAAGCTACTCCACTTAAAGCTAGTGTCGGTGACGGCAATCTTCCAAAGCTGACGCTTGAGACCACAGCTTTCTGCTGTACATGAGGGGACTAAATTCCAATCGGAACGCCGTGTAGTCACATATGAGACGTGAGAGCCATGCAGCAGGGCATGGCTAGCCATCCATAATTCTTCGAACCCACGAGATGGGTCCTGTCAACAACGCACGAGTATGTGGGAAGGACCGATGCCATCACCAGTAATGTACTCCGCGCGAGGCATAAGCAGACATGCAAACTTGGTCCGGGCTGAACAATTGGCCGGCCTGTTCGGATCTGGAAAGATTTGATATTTGTTGGCTTACCAAAGGTCGAACTGCACTGGTTTGCCTTGAATCATAGCCCCACGCAAACCTCGTATGGCATGCCCAGGACCCTTGCGACCTTTTTTACAATCACAAGGCGGAAGTGCCTTGGTGAAGATATCAGCAGTGTTGGCCTCAGAGGCCACGTACGCAAGCCGTAGCTGACCACGCTGCTGTAGCTCACGAGCAAGGAAGTAGCGGAGAGCAATGTGCTTCGTTCTGTGCTCCAGTCTCTGCTCTCGACACAAGGCCAGCATGGCCTTGTTGTCTACGTACAGCACTGGAGGAGAACGAGGCGGCTCTCCGAGGTCAGTGAGCAGGTAGGTGAGCCAGCGAAGCTCCTGTGCAGCCATGGCCCCGGCGTAGATCTCAGCCTCACAACTGGAGCCGAGAACAGAAGACGAGCGGGTAGCCCGCCACGAAACAGAGCCGGAACCAAGGCTGAAGGTGTAACCCTGTGACGACCGCTGCGTAGCCTGGTCGTCAGCCCAAGAAGCGTCTGCGTGCCCAGTGAGGACCACTGGACTCCGCCCTCCAAGCACAAGCCCCATGCCCGACGTACTGCACAAGTAGCGCAACACCCTCTTCGCTGCAGCCATGTGCTCCGGTCTGTGTCTCCCAGGAGCAACATAGCGTGCAAGAATGCTAAGAGGGTATGCAAGGTCAGGTCGTGTGCAGGTCATCAGGTACATGAGGCAGCCAACAAGCTCTGGGTACGGGCCACTCGACTCTACGGACTCATCCGAAGGCAGAGCTGAGAGCGAGTGGCGAGTAGGCAGAGGAGTGGCCTGAGGCGAGGAGTACGTGAAGCCGAAGCGCTGAAGGACCTGCTGCACCATGTGTGACTGAGTCAGGGTAATGGTGCGGCGTGCTCTGTCCCGGGTGATCTGCAAGCCAAGGTAGCTGCGCAGTTCACCCAGGTCTGTGCACGTGTGTCTCTTCTGCAGCTCGGACTTCACGTGGGCGAGTCCAGCAGTGTCAGCTGTGGCGAAGACCAAGTCGTCGACGTACACGAGGATGTAGAACGGCGGCAAAGAAGTGTCGGTGCGTAGAAACAGCGACGGGTCGGCAGTAGAGGGAGCAAACCCAAGAGCCGCAAGTGTAGTCCTCAGTGTGTCGTGCCACTCACGCGGTGCCTGGCGGAGACCGTAGACTGGCCGCCGGAGGCTCCACTGGGTGCCAGGAGGAAAGGACCCAGTGAAGCCAGGTGGGCGACGCAGCCAGATCTCCTCGTGCAGGCTGCCCTGCAAGAAAGCAGTGCTGAAGTCAAGAGAGTGCAGCTCGTAGTCGCGGTGAGCAGCTATGTGCAGCAGTACCCGAAGAGTGGTCATCTTCGGGGTGGGAGAGAAGGTCTGAAAGTAGTCAACTCCCTGCCGCTGACTGAAGCCACGAGCCACGTAACGCGCCTTGAAGACAGGCGGAGAACCCGGCGGCCGCTTCACCCTGAAAATCCACATGCCACTGACGATGTTCGCCCCAGGCGGGGGAACCTCGTCAACGTAGGTGCCTGTTGACTTCCAGGAAGCCATCTCTGCGTCCATAGCTGCCTGCCACTGAGAGGAGTAAGGACCCTCTATCGCCTCCGCGTAAGAGCGCGGAGTCGGGATGTCAAGTGCATCCGGGTCTCCCTCAGGGGTAAGCAGTACGGACACGAGATGAGGTGAAGCAGCAGCCAGACACTGGAACTCCTCCTGCCTGTCCTCAAGGACGTCCGTGCCAAGGGCACACTCACCCCCGATGGACGGAGGACAGACAGACTCAGACTCAGCAACAAGACTAGCAGCGTAGTCTAGACGACAGCGAGCAGCAAAGTCGACGAGCTCAGCAACTAGGGCAGACGCAGCAGTGGACTCAAAGGAAGGGTCAGTGACAACAGTAGCAAGGAGACGCGTGACAGTCGGACTGGCAGCACGAAGGGAGTCCGACTCCGGGTCGGCAAGAGCAGGAAGAGAGGACTCAGGAGGAGAAGGCAAAGGGGCACGCAGAGGAGCAGTGGACGGACGCAGAGACATCCGGTGCGTGCCAGGGACAGGAGGAGGACGCTGACGCGAACCACGACCACTAGTGCGAGCAGCACGAACAGGCGACGCAGGGCGAGACGCAGGCTCACGACGCTCAGTAAGACCTCCAGTAGGACCAGTGTAGGGAGAAGGAGCGGGCAGTGGGGAGGCCGGCTGTAACTGTAACTGTGACGGGACAGGCTGTGGACACTCTAAGGGAGGAGGAGGAGGACCAGTAGAAGGCGGGAGACCAAGAACCTGCTGAAGGAGCGGAACGAAGTACGGCCGAGGCCGCGCGGCGACTCCAGACACAGCAGGGACAGCACCAGTACCCCCAGCGGCAGCACCAGCGCCAGCAGCACCTCCAGCTCCAGTACCTCCAGCAGCACCAGTAGCACCCCCAGTAGGACCGCCTCCAGGACCGACAGCAGTAGCCTCAGCGCCAACACCCTCAGCAGCTCCAGCTCCAGTCGTACCCGCAGGCCCAGCAGCTCCAGTACTCCCAGTACGAGCACCTCCGGGACCCGCAGCACCAGCACCCTCAGCAGCCGAAGAACCTCCAGCTCCAGCAGCACGCCTCCAGCGCCGGGCAAACCACTCGCGCATGTCAGGTGTTTCTCGAGGCGCGACATTTTGTTTTTTTGCGAACGTTGTGCTGCTCTGTCGCCCTTACGAAATGTCAGTTTGTGAATTTCGCCGACGCGCAAATGTACAAATTTCCGCGATGCGGTAATTTGTACATTTGGCGAACCGTTACCACCCGTCAACCCGTTTCGCCAGGTCGGTGGGACGATTCGCGGCCCCGTCGTTATTTTCGCCCGCGTGCGCGACACAACCCAATTTTGCGCTGCGAAACAATTTTAACCAATAACGTTAGTCCAATCTCCATCCCATCACATCCCATCCCTTTCGCCTTTTCCATTTGCCAAAGCAACACAACCAAGTCTTGCAAGGTACAAAGAGCAGGGCGATAAACCTACTCGACAAGTACTTCTTAGTAGGCATTTTACAGCTTCAACCATCTGCTGTATTCCACCATGGTTAGACCTTTCTCGGAGGTGTGGGAGCACGTGACGAAGGTTACATCTCCTAGCGGCGTAGTCACCGCGACATGCAGCTATTGCCCTGCTACCGTGACCCCAAATGCCACTCGTATTAGAGAGCACATCTACGGGACCCCTCGTTCAAGGGAGAAGAACGTGACGCCGTGTCCGTCCGAGTTTGCCAAGCGGCTTCGTGAAGCCGCCGAGAGGGATCGGTCTTCCACACCCTCCAGTTCCAACCGTGCCTCTACCTCCTCCACGGTCGAGATGCAGCCCGCAAGGCGTTCTAGGCAGCGGGACATCCGCGATATGGCGGATACCGTTGCCCGCGCGCGTTTGGACTACCTGTGGGCGGCAGTTGTGGCAGAGAATGATCTAGCCTTCAACGTCTCTAAATCGCGTGCGCTACAAGCCTTCGTTGACGCGGCGGTCGTGTTCGCGAAGCCCTACACAGTCCCAACCCCTTACAAGGTGTCCGGCTCTCTCCTCGACAAGCTAAGGGCGGACGCCGAGGAGCTTGTAAGGCCATTGAAGGAGAGTTGGAAGACGACCGGGTGCAGTCTCTCGGTGGACGGGTGGACGTGCATGAAGTCCCGTGGGATTGTGTGCGTCATCGCCCACAACGACACCGCGCCCGTCATTGTGGACATTGTCGACTCGAAAACCGCTAAGAAAACTGGAGACTACCTCGCGGGTCTCATCGGGAACTCGATCTCCGAAGTGGGGAAGGACCTCGTGGTCCAGGTCATCATGGACAATGCGTCTAACAACCGATCCGCGGCTGAGAAGCTTAAGGAGGAGTTTCCCTCGGTTTTTTTCGCCAACTGCGCCGCCCACTGCTTGGATCTTATGCTTCACGACCTAGGGAAAGTTGGGCCCGTCAAACGCGTGTTAGAGCAAGTGCATCGAGTCGTCATGATGATCAAGGGTAGTGCTTCCGCCGTCGTTCTATTCCGCGAGCTCTTTACCAAGCTTTCATTGGTACGGCCGGGTGCGACACGGTTCGGCACTCAAGTCATCATGATACGCCGCTTCTTGGAGGTGAAGGGGGCACTCCAGGCCATGGTCATAAGCGATGAATGGAAAGGGGTGGCGGTGGCGCAAAAGGCTGAAGGGCAGGAGGTGCGGGCGCTTCTTCTTGACGACGTCTTTTGGGACTGTGTTACTGCGGTGCTCCGCCTCCTCACGCCGGTTTATGAAGTGCTAAGGGTGGTTGACACGCGGGCACAAGTCATGGGCCAAATCTATGGCCTCATGATTGATATCACGGTGAAGACACGGGAAGCTGCAGAGGCCGCCGGTAAGTCTAAAGCTCTTTTATGTTTAGTTCTATTCCTACTTCCGAATCTGTGTTGCATGCTTGATCACACCGCGCGTGCCATTCCCTGTGTTAACAATAAACTCCTCCATCCACACCGTGAGCAGCCTCGGTATTCATCAAGAAGACGGGCCTGCTCTTGGCCAAGGACAAGAGCACCTTCATGGCATCCATCAAGGGCATCCTTGCCCGGCGATGGGACGGGCAACTCCACAACCCCCTGCATGCCCTCGGATGGCTTCTTAATCCCCGCAACCAGTACGCGGGGGAGGTGAGAACCGATGCGGAGGTAAGGAAGGGGGCCGACGCGGTGATTCAGGCCCGGGGGGGGGGATGTGGCCCAGCGCATCAAGCTGCAGACACAGCTGGTGCAATTCCATAAGGGTGAGGGCCGCCTCGGGTCGGATGATGCGCTATGGGCAGCCAAGACCTTGGTGGAGGGGGGGCGCATGACGGATGCGGAGTGGTGGTGGATTTTCGGTGGGGAAGTGCAAGCGCTCCAAGAACTGGCTGTCACGACCCTATCACAGCCCGTCACCTCGTCCGAGGTGGAGCGGTACTTTTCCGCCCTTGCATGAGTGCAAATGCGGGATCGGAACCGCATCGCGGCCAAGAAGATGACTGATGTCACCTTCGTGGCCTTCACCAGGAGGGCCCGCGATGCGTTTGATCGCAAAACTCAGACGCGTGCGAAGCTGTACGCTGATCTCACCGACGGAACCCTCAAAGAGGGCATTCCCGTGCCCCCGCCCGCAACAGTGGAAGAGGATGAAGGTGGGGCTGAAGAGGAGGAGGGAGCCGAGGTGGCAGAGTGCACCATCGACTGGACTGTATTTGGGAGCATTGGTTAGAAGAAGAAGAAGAAGAAGAAGCGCGCGGGAGAGAGCTCCAAGAGGAAGAGGAAGGAGAAGGGAAAGGGGCCATGCAAGTGGAAGGGGAGAGGAAAGAAGCGTGTGGAGGAGGAGGAGGAGGAGGAGGAGGAGGAGGAGGAGGAGGAGGAGGAGGTGGAGGAGGAGGAGGAGGAGGAGGAGGAGGAGGCGGCAGAGAGCAATGGGCGGGAGGTAGGACCCTCCAAGCGTCCTAAGGCAGTCTGGCTGTGGGACTGCAGTGATGGTGAGAGTGGGGAGGAGGAGGAGGATGAGGAGGAGGAGGACGACGAGGAGGAGGAAGGGTAGGAGGTGGAGGAGGAGAGGAGTAGGAGAAGGTGGAGGAGGAGTAGGAGGTGGAGGAGGAGTAGGAGGAGGAGGAGGAGTAGGAGGGAGGAGGAAGAGGAGGGATTAGGTGCAGATTTGCCTAGGTAGTGTAGTGTAGTTTCCTATAGGCTTCCTTGTCATCGTTGTAAGCTGCCTAGAAGTTTCAGAAAAATAAAAAGTACAAAAAAATGTCCAACAAAAAAACGGCCGTATTTTTGCCAAAACCACCGTAAATTACAACCGTAAATTACGGACCGTAATTTACGACTGCCGTATTTTTTAACCTTGTGTGTATCACATGGCATGTGGCGCATGGACTGGGTTTTAAGGTCATTGCCATATACTGGCTTGGCTAGCATTGTCAAATTTCACTACAGCTTATAGAGGGGATTGATGCACTGTCTAAATTGCATCTGAACTTAAAAGGATGACATGCATTGGAACATGAAAGGGGTGCTATGGCTTCTGATGTCTCTTCTGCCCCAGGGCAGAGCACAAGAAAGCAACCCTAGAGAAGCGCATTACCCACCCATTCATAAAGCTATAACACCTATTTGCTGGTATGCAAGAGAAGTAGCAGCAGCCAGTCTTTCCCTAATAAAAACCGTGAGAATGCTACATTTGAGCCTGCCCTTGCTAGCATGCAGGTACAGAGACATCTGATCTAAGCGTATGAGGGGAGATAGGCACCTTCAGCGCTGGAGCCTGTCACTCACACCACTTAGTGGCAAAGTGATCAAGAATTCCAAGATCTCGTATGTCATCAGGCAAAGCCTGCAGCTCCCTGCAGCTGTGGACGTAGATTTTTCTCAGTCTGCTTAGCTGAGCAAAGCCATGAGGAAGCACCCGGATGCTGGTGCTACTGACGTTTAGATGTTGGAGGCAGGAAAGTTGCATGAGGGAAGCAGGGAGGTGCGTGAGGGATGAGCAGTAGGATATGTCCAGCCGGCACAGTCTTGAGAATGCCCCAAATCCGTCTGGAAGAGCAGAAAACTTTGGTGCGAGGATTTGAATGGATGTCAGGTGGTGGAGAGTGGTGATGGCTGCAGGCAGCTCTGTGAGTTCATCACACCAAGTAGTGATGTTCAGCTGCCGTAGCTCCAGCAGTGCAGAGCCGTCAGAATTCACCAGATTCTTCACATCACGGACTTTCTTGAGTGTCAATGTGCGGAGGCGAGGGAGCCTTGCCAAGACGGAGAGAGACTCATCTGCACCTTCTCCCAGCACCAGCTGCAGGTGCTCCACACCAGAGAGATGCGCACCAATGCCCTCAAGACAGGCTGCACCCACAGTGTCCACCCTCAATTCCCTCAGCTCCGTGAGTGTTGAAATGTCCGGCAGAGACGCCCCATCCTGATTGCTTTTGAAGGTTAGAGCCTGGAGACTGAGTGGCAAAGCCCAAGGGGCTTCGTTCAGCTGCCAGCAGTCCCTCAGCCATAACTGTGTGAGCCTGGTAAGGCTGTCCAGCCTCCTGGGAACCAAGGAGAGACTCTGGCACTCTTAAATCCTCAGCACTCGAAGGCTGACAAGCACCGTAACAAGCCCTGGAAGCTCCTTGAAGGTCGAGCAGTTCTGCATGTAGAGCTCCTGCATGTTTGTCATCTCCACCATGCCCTCTGGAAGCTCAAGTATCCCGCACCCATCCAACACCAACCTCGTCAGCGAGGTCAGCTGCGTGAATGAGGACGGTAGCTGTTCTTGGCTGTTCTTGTTGAGATGAAGGGTGTGGAGATTCGTCAGCCCCCCCAAGTCTTCTGGAAGGTCCAGGGAGCGCGACCCTTCAATGCTAAGAGTGTGGAGTGCTGTGAGGCATCCGAACCCTGCAGATAGCTCCTCCATCCTCCAGCACCCAGCCATTATGAACGTCTCCAGAGATGCGAGTTGGGTGAAGGAAGCAGGGAGACTGAGAAGCGGCAGCTGGTGCAGCACCAACACCTTCAAGGCTGGAAGATTTCCAAAGCTTCTGGGCAGTGTAAACACGTTGCATTGGGAAATGGTCAAGCTCTCCAGGCAGGTCAGGGAGGTGAACTGATCAGTCAGATCCCTGAAGCGGTCGGACCCATTGATGCAGAGCTCCTGGAGGCGTGGCAGCGCATCACCAAAACTGTCTGGAAGCCGCGCTTGGTTGATGGTAAGGCGCAGTCGTTTCAGGAACATGTATGGCGATTCAAGAGGGAAAAAAACGCTGGACTGTGCATCGTACAGTCCGAACTTGAGTGACTCGAGAAACGGTAGCTGTGCGAGTGAGAAGGCAGGCGGGTTTGGTGGAACCAGGCGAATCTTGATAGGCAAGGAGAGGCGGGTGAGGCTGGTGAGTCGAAGAAGGCGGGAAAGCTGGTCGTAGTGAATGGAGAAGGTTTCAATGGAGAGCACAGTGAGAGACGAAAGGGAGCTGAGATCTGGAGCCGTTAAGATAAAAGCACTGCTCAAGACGAGGATGCTCAAATGTCGAAGCTGAAAGAAAGACGATGGAGGGTCCAGATTCTCCGGAAGACAGTGCAGTGACAGCTGCTCCAGTTGAGAGCAGCGACGAAAGAAGTGGTTCAAACCATATTCGGTTATCACACGGCCATTCCTTCGGTGCCGTCCATCGTCCCCTTCCATCGTCAACCTACCTACGTGCAGCGCCTTTAACCCAGGGCAAGATGATGCGAGGTCAGCTAGAAACGCGTCGTCCAACATTTCAACACTGTAATCGGACAGATGCAAATGGATCAGATTCGGAAAGCAAGCGACGGCGTTGAGCACATCGCGGTGAGACACGACGCGGTCCTCCTTGACGAGGAGCGATGCGACATGCTTCTGAGCGACACGCCGCCAGCGACGGCAGATCGATGCAACTAGAAGGTTGTGAGCCGCATCTGCGGAGGCAGGAGCATCCCAAAAATGGGGGCCCCCGAAAAGTATGGTTTCGGGAAGAAGGTCTGAAGTAACAATTTGATCTGAGTGGGGAAACATACTTTCGACGCGTCGCGTCGAAACGAAATCAGCCCAATTACCTTCGGAACTCTCGAAAGTGCTTGGGCAGCCAGCTTGGCAGCTTCGAAAACCACCCGAGTGGTCGAGCACCTTGGGTGGCAGCTTCGGCGGCACATCACAGCTTCGGTACCCTTCATGGAGGCCTGGAACAGGGCTGGCATGTCCCATTGGCTCCAAGTCCCATCCGAAATTGCTCTGTTGGCAGTTGGATAAACGTAATATTATACACTGACTGGAAACTTTGAATGTGGAATCGAATACAGTTTGTAATTGTGCTCTAGTTTTGTTTTCATGCCTAGATAAACTTCATACATGTATTGGGTTATATTTGTCAGAATCAACAAGAGTGATTGAACTAGGAAAGAGTTGGGTACAAGTAGGAAACCCTAAACTTACTGTACCCCATAGTAACTACCCCACTACAGCCTAAACAAACTGTAGCAGATATGACATTTGACACACCCCCATAGGCAAAGTGGGGGAGAGCAAGGGGTCACAAGACCAGTCAAGAAGGGCAAAGCAAGCTCAGGGTGGATCACAAAGTCACCACACTCACTGAGCACAAGCAAAGGGCCAGAAGGCCAGTTCACATGCAAAGGCATATATGCAACACAAACATCACAGTGATCTCTACCTAGCAAAGCAAGCATGCAGGTATATATATATAGATCACAGTTCAAGCAAAGTCTACAGCAAGTGAGGAAAAGTGGGCACAAGCCCTAGCATAGTTCAAAAACGCTGATGATCACCAGACTGAAGTGCCTTGGTGAATATATCAGCAGTGTTGGCCCGAGTGGCCACGTAACGCAGACGAAGCTGACCACGCTGCTGCAACTCTCGAGCCAGGAAGTACCGCAGAGCGATGTGCTTCGTTCTGTGCTCCAGTCTGTGCTCCTCACACAAGGCAATGGCAGCCTTGTTGTCGACGTACAACACTGGAGGAGAACGAGGCGGCTCTCCCAAGTCGGTCAGCAGGTAGGTGAGCCAGCGTAACTCCTGTGCAGCCATGGCTGTGGCGTAGATCTCAGCCTCACAACTGGAGCTGAGAACTGAAGACGAGCGTGTAGAACGCCAAGAAACTGAGCCAGAGCCAAGGCTGAAGGTGTAACCCTGTGACGACCGCTGAGTAGCCTGGTCGTCAACCCAAGAAGCGTCTGAGTGCCCAGTGAGAACAACTGAGCTCCTCCCTCCAAGCACGAGCCCCATGCCAGATGTACTGCACAAGTAGCGCGGTACCCTCTTCGCAGCATCCATGTACACCTTTTGGTGCCGACCAGGAGCCACGTAGCGAGCCAGAAGGCCAAGAGGGTACGCGAGGTCAGGACGAGTGCAAGTCATCAGGTACATTAGGCAGCCAACTAGCTCTGGGTAAGGACCACTCGGCTCTATGGACTCGTCCGAAGGTGAAGCTGAGAGCGAGTGAGCTGTAGCCAGAGGAGTGGCCTGTGCCGAGGACCAGGTGAAGCTGAAGCGCTGAAGGACCTGCTGCACCATGTGTGACTGAGTCAGCGTGATGGTGCGGCGTGCTCTGTCCCGGGTGATCTGCAAGCCAAGGTAGCTGCGCAGTTCACCCAGGTCTGTGCACGTGTGTCTCTTCTGCAGCTCCGACTTCACGTGGGCGAGAGCCTCAGTGTCAGCAGTGGCAAAGACCAAGTCGTCGACGTACACGAGGATGTAGAAGGCGCGAACCCAAGAGCCGCAAGTGTAGTCCTCAGTGTGTCGTGCCACTCACGTGGCGCCTGGCGGAGACCGTAGACCGGCCGCCGGAGGCTCCACTGGGTACCAGGAGGGAACGACCCAGTGAAGCCAGGAGGGCGGCGCAGCCAGATCTCCTCGTGCAGGCTGCCCTGCAAGAAAGATGTGCTGAAGTCAAGAGAGTGAAGCTCGTAGTCAAGCTGAGCGGCAACGTGCAGTAGCACCCGAAGAGTGGTCATCTTCGGGGTGGGAGAGAAGGTCTGGAAGAAGTCTACTCCCTCTCGCTGACTGAAGCCTCGAGCAACGTA